TACTAGAAGATGAATTAGCTGAGAGTACTCGAAATGCAGCAAAAGCAGACTCGACTTCACTGCTAAACTCTTTCCGAAGCTTCATAAAAACGAAAAAAACAAAAGGTTCCAAATCAATTACAGAAACATAAATCAAACAAACAGACACAAAGGATAAATTGACTTTTTTGAACAAAACCTGCAGAAGGTTTGGTTTCACTGCATAAACATTTACTACTAATGGGGCATTTAACACAACCCTACAACAATTGATGTGAACGATTCTTGGTGCTGCAGTCCATAATATAAAGTCTAGGACCAAAAATGATCAAGATATGTGGATGATTCTGGGAAAGTACACTTTGTAACTTTGATTATGATACGAAATCTCCTTAACAGTTAGTAAAGGAATTGATTTTTCAGCCACATTCAGTAAAAGTGACCAATTCTTAATCAAAGGCAAAACAACGTTTTTGACCTGGTGAGTCTCTGTACATTTGGCTACTTGAAAATAGTGATTTAAACTAAATTTCCTTCATTGATCCAGAAACCAAATTCATGTCATGCAATTGCTTACAATTCCTAAAAATGAGATAGTTAATCTACCCATAAAGCTTATATATCACAAAAAAAACCCACAAAACTATCATCCAGAGCCATAATCACGGTTTCCAGGAGTTCAGTTCCTCAAAAACGCATAAGACGCATAAATTTCTCTGCCCTTTATCGCACATTTTCTCGGAAACCAAACAGAAACCAAGCAATAAAGAGAGAGAAAAAACGAGAGAACCTACCCAAGACGCTGACTTTCCGAGACTGGCAAAGGCAAATCGGTTCTCTGGGTTGATGGTGAGCTTGGCGTTGATGAAGACAAGTATGGCTTGCTTGATCGAGTCCAGGCGGGTTGAAGGTCGCCCATTTGGGCTCATCGCTACTTTGAGCTCCACCATAGATTCTGGGCCAACATCTATACAGAACAGTATGTCCTCATTGCTTAGCCTCGTTGGTCTCAGCGTGTATCTGCCCGCACCCGATCCGTCCCCTTCTACTATTCCCTCCATCTCTCACACAGAGCTCAGAGCTCAGAGCTCAACTTCCCAAATGAAACCAAAGAAGAAAGCTTTGCGAAGACAGCCTCATCGTGTCATTTGCATTTCACAGTAAAAGGACACGTACAGGTAAACGGTGCGTTTTATGTCACCGATTTATACAAACGAGTAAGCGATATTATTATAAAATTTGAGGGTAGATCAGTTTTTCAATAAGCATGTGCGGATTTATTATTTATATCTTTAGAGTTGAGCTATGTACTTTCGGGAAATATAATAGAAAAGTTGATATAGATTCAAATTTTTATTGAGGAATTGAGTTTAATTCTTGGATTTTGTGATTTTGATCCAAGTCCTTTGACTTTTGTATCACATATGATTACATTTCTTTTTAAATATTTTATAATGTAATCTCTTTAAAAAAATAAAAATAAATCATTTTTAGTTCCAATGTTGTCCCTTATTACTTGAATCGGGTAATAGTTATTTATGTTATAATAATTAGCCATTTTTTGTAGGTAACATATAATTTTATTTGTCTATTTTTATATATGACTTATAGGTAGTCTTCTAATTTATATTCCTAACTTATAGGTAGTCTTCTAATTTATGTTCCTAACTCATAGGTAACACGATTTGTCACTAAGTTTTTTTCGTTGCTAATAATAACACTATTTTACCTGAATGTCAGGTACATAATGTCATGTGGGTGCTTGTCTGATCAATTGGTATATTATGCGGGTCTTTATTTTTCATTGATTAAATTATATTTTATCCATATATTAGGAATATTATCAAGGAAAGAATTCAAAATTTAAATTCTGAAATTCATTTACAAGGAAATAATGCATTAAATTTAGATTTTAAATGTATTTTCCTTATTTACCTCTAAGGGTAAAATCGACACCACAAAAAAGTAATAAATGTCAAAGGACCTACATCTAAAATTAAAAACGTGTGGACTAAACCCAAAAATAGCTAATCGTTTTGGACCTAGATCTAAGAAGCCCGAAATATAATCATAAACTGAAGTGAAGACAATAATAATACTAATTCAATTGCCTGCATAGAAGCTCAGTTGAGATTAGTGGTCGACCGGACGAAAAGGGTAGGAAGCTTTAGTAAAATGAGTGAGTCGAGAAGAAGTTTCAGGTAACTTATCCACACTACAAAAGATACTCATGAAGATGCAAAAGAATACCACACTACAAAATGCTTGGAAGAGTACATCGATGCTATCTATGGTTTGGATCAAATGGTTTGTCAATGCTACACTGAAAAGATTGAGTGCGAAGAAGATGAGCTTGCAGAAATACTATTACTCGACGGTTGCTTCATATTGGAACTTTTCCTCAGGTCATTGTCTATATGAAGCAAGATGACTACAATTCTGATCCAATATTAACAAGCTTGGACAATTGCAGCCCTTCAGCATGATTTGACATTACTGTTATGTGTCCTATTTAGATCGATGCACTAAATACTAAGTTATATCAGGTTTTGATAAGAGTTTGAATTAAGTTATACCTTGAGGCCCAAAACCTTGTGGAATAAGGAAAGGTTTTGAAGCCTATTAAGCGGTCCTGTTTATTTCCTTTTTTGCGTGAACCGTTTTGGTGGGCTTGGAAGATTAGTCAAGTCAACCCTCGATGATGAGTAGAGACGACTTGACCTAGCCCTATATAAGCTTAAGGCCCTGGTCTCATTAGACACGTTCTCTAACCCTAATCTCATCATAAAGAGAGAGCTGAAACAGATTTTGAGAGAGAGCAGAAGTCTTGAGCCATTCCTGTTTTGCTAGGATTGTTGTTGTTGCGGTTGAATGAGTTCAGAGGTCGTGTACTCAAGAAAGATGGCGCCAGGTATGTCTTTACGTATTTTAGAATTGTGTGAAAGATCATGAACACGCATGTTAAAGAAATCTAACAGTTGGTATCAAAGCTCATGGTTATACACACACTGAAATCGTTTTTTAAGCATGCCTATTATGATTTCTTATCTGTTTATGCCATGCTGAGCTTTTGGTTATGTATAAAATCTGAAGATTGATTAAACATGTTTTCTAAAATATTAAGAATATTAAAGAATCTGGAAAAGCATGTTTTAATTTGATTTTTCATATCTTCAAAACTTTAAACACTTTTTTTACCTACTAGATGACATTAAAACCCTAAAAATGCCCATATATCACAAGAACACTGTGAGTTGTGTTAATTAGGTCTAGGCTGATGTTCTGTATGGTGATTATGGATTCACTGGAAAGCTTCCTAGGACTTGGTTCAGGAGAGTAGATCAGCTCCCTATGAATTTTGGTGAAAAAAATTATGATCCCCTCTTTCCCTTTGGTTTTGGACTTACAACGCGGCCGGTTAATAATGGCTTAAAGCCAAGTCAGGCGAATTAGTAGTGTTATTATATCCTCTCTTTCTTGTCTTCTCCTTGAATTCATTTGATGCCAATAAGCTGGTGGTGATTGGCAGAATGTTTCAGCCATACAATTTTGGAAATTCCTTTCGTTTTTTGTTTTTTAGGTATTACTTTGTTATTGCTTATTTGCATATCTGGAGTTTTTGCACTCAGGTCTTTCAATTCCCATGACTCCAATGTGTCTTGGTTTTTTTTTTTTTTTTTTTTTTTTTTTTTTTTTTTCAGAAGGAAAGATCTTCATTCAACAGAAACCAAATACAAATAGTAATGCAAAGGATGCAAAAATGTGGCCTCGTTAAAATCTTGCCTTAAGAAAACCCCAACGGAGGAAAGTCAAGGAAAGAGAGTCAGAAATAATTTAAAAGAAAGAATCAGAATCAGACATTTCCATCAAATTGCTCATACAAACCTTCTGGAATCAAAATGAGAATCATGATGGTTCCCAAGGAATGAAAGCTTACTAAAGTCACTAACGTTTAGGGAATTAGATTGAGAGCCTATGGCCCTACGGTAACTTCGGTTTGCAGTGGTAGAGGGTTTGGCCATATATTGGCCTTGTGATCAACTTAATTCTTAACTCAAGCAGTAGGGTGGCAACAGCTACTAACTAGGACACCTCCTAGAGCTCTCTACTACAAACTAGATACTAGATTTTAATGGAGCTTGCCATCTTCCTGGAAGAATGTCGGGGGCTGGTTGGAGCTAGCGGTACATTTCATCATGAGCATGATGAGCATGGAGCTTTTAGGGTAGTGCTATGGCTTATCCCTTACCTAGTGATCACTATATATCCTCCCTGTCTCATCTGTATGGCCTTTGCTTTGCTTTACTCGGACTTTGCTAAGTTGGCGACAGAAGTATTGCTCATGAAGTTATTAGGGGACGAACTGAGCTTCAATAAGCCACATCTCATTGTGGAGGAACTGTCTCATAAGCTGCAAAGATTACATACATACCCTTCATTTTCCCCCTCTGCTGACTCTAACCCTCTTTTCCCTCCTTTAGGAATCGATTGGAGTAGAATGATGAATCTATTTCTTCGCCTCGTTGTCAATAAAAGTCAGAATTATCTTAGCAGGAAATACAAGATTACAAAGAATTATCTTGGCAGGAAACATGAGATTACAATATATGATTCGATTAAATTCCTGAATAATCAGGACCACTACTTTCTTTTTTTATCAGAGATTCAAACTTTTTGTTTCACTTGATCATTTACCCACTAGGTCAAAATTAATCAGAGAACAATTTTTATTAATCTTCATTCACTTATATATATATATATATATATATATATGTGTGTGTGTGTGTGTGTGTTTGCACAAACGTGCTCAAATGAATTTGCATGATTTATTTTGTGCAGCAACGTACATCTGTAATTGAACGTTTCACATGAGTTCGTTGTGCTAGAAGCAGGGACAAAAATAAATAGTGTCCAAACACATTTTACCAACTAGGATTGTTGAAACATCTTGTAACGCTTTCAAGGAGAATGCAAACGAAATCAGAAAACATAATGTAAACCTGAATTTCCTTAAGATTATATAATATGTACCAACAACAGAATCCAATTTCTCAGGTTCAAAGTGGCATTCCATTTACAAGTATTTTGTGCCCATGGTTCATACTTTAAGAGTAATGCAAGCTTATACAACAAACGGCAAATGGATGACGCTAGTGGTTCAGCATCTACAGAAGCAAAACCTACTTTGTACAAGATCTGACTCCGCTATCAGTGTGTAAATTTAACAAAATGCAAATTGATCCATCATTCTTTATCGAGCCTTGCTGGACGGACCCAAAAAAAAAATCAGATCCTGAAACAGGTCATATAAGAATAAAATGACAGACCAGCTGCAAGCCTACTTTACTAAGTGCAAACAATTACAAAAGAACTCAAGGGCTTATTTTAAAACTCAGGAATTGTAGCATGTACCCAAAATAACCTAATCAACTTCTTGAAATACCAATGAAATGTACATGCAAAACTTGTCCTAACCTTTACTCTGCATTGTGAGACTGGTCATGCTCGATGAAGTCCAATGCATCTTCCTTCGAGACAACGTTGACACGGCTCACCCTGTTTTTATGTTCAACACCATATATTTTGTCAGAAACTTTCACAAGCTCTGGCCGGAATGTTGTGGTTATAAATTGAGTATTTGCCATGTCTGCCAGGCGCCGGATCATATCTATCAACAGGTAATTAAGGAACTCTTATGGCGGTAAACTTTCCAACAGGAACTCTTAAGGCACCCATTACCTGCATCGAAAAAATTAGCATTCTGAACACGTAAAAAGCCAAATATTGTCATATGCAAATGAATAAACACCCACAGAAGACGGTCACAAGGTGCCGACAGTTAACAGAAACTATTTCAAATTAATCCTGTCATCTAGAACTCATACACCAAATATCCAATCAAAATTACATAGAAGTCGTATATTTTCTTTTTCATACAACCCTCACGAATAAATCATAATTATTAAGACACATGCAAGCAAATAGACAAACTCGCTACCCATAAAGCAATAACCATTTATGCAGATTAATCGTTGGAAAGGAGGTTGACAATTACAACTACAAATGGAGACACACATTGGACCAACATGGAGACACTTCTTGGCTGGCATATGAATGCTTCTGTGGCATATATTATACTTGAATGACAGTGAAAAACAATTTAATATTGCAAGAAAGCAACAAAACACAACAAAGAACAAGAAACCGACATAAAGGATACTCCCAACAGCTGTTCGGTATTGAGGATCCAGTGCTGCATCTATTTCATCAAAAAGATAAAAGGGAGCAGGATCACATCGCTGGATGGCAAAGATAAGCGTTAGCGCAACAACAGTTTTCTGACCCCCAGACAACTGCTTCATCGACTGAGTTTCCCCTTGTCCGGTAAAAGAAACCTGCCACAAGGACCCAAAAAAAGGCAATTCAAAAAGCATTTACAACCTTGAACTGAAAACATCATGACATCTATTTTGTAAAATTTGACAGTATTGTAAGGCTGGGTTTAACTCGCAGTCTCACACAAGGAGCATATCATTTTTCTAAGTAAATTATCAATAATTCAGTACAAGTTTTGCTTGCCACTTCTTTTTTTTATATTTAATAACTAGGGGAGATATTTTACCCCACTTATCCCCAAGGGCACATGTAGACCCTTAAATCCCACTTATAAATTATTAAATTACAAATTCTACTTGCCCGTTCTTTTCTTTCTTTTTTTTTCTTCTAATTTTTGTTTTTTGGATACCTCGGGGAGATCTTTTACCCCATTTTATACCGAGGGCACATCTAAACCCTCAAATCTGAAAAGCTGGGACAAATAATGGTGGAGGCATTAGTTTTTAGCAAAGGAAACTGCAGAAAATACATGCCTTCACTTTTACACCAATATATTTCTCAACTCTTCCCTCTAAATCCGCTTCACGTGGTCCATCCTCATCCTGATCATCATCACCATGGTGACCATCCTGTGGATACAATACACATATTCAAGTAAAATCATATGAATCTTATCTACGCTTTTAAAATAAAGAACTTTCAAGAAGACGATACCTAGATACTCAATCTAGTTATGCCTCTCCTCTTTTGACGAAAATTAATAGAATGGGAAATTTTTATTATGTTCTTGTTATGGGAAAACAAAAAACAATTTTCTAAAAGAACACTTAGATGGGTCTGAGTGTCAAACATCTCAGGCCACTCACCTAACAGCTAAATTAATAATATATTCCTTCAGCAGATAATGAACTAATAAACACTAAGCATCAAGCTAAGTCCACACATCTTATGATTAACTATAAAGAAGAAAAACTGAAGCGATCCAGCCCAACAATAAACCTTTTTCTTCATCATAACAAGGTAACCATGGCCACCTTGCACAAGTTCTGAGAAAACTTCTCGAAAGTGCCTAGCAACACCTTTAAAAGTACGTTCTATTGATTCATCCTTCCTTTGATCCAAAACCTGTATAAGTTCTCCAATTTTCTGCAAAATTCGAAAAAGTCAAGTCAAAAGAACCAAATCTTAGCCAACCATTTAATGAAAACACCAACTCAATACAACAGATCTCACAGCTTGATACCTCATCACCCGCATCCAGCTCGGCTTGCCTTTTCTGGAGTTCTTCTCGTTGTTCTGTAAAATTCACATACTGATCAAGTGCTTTCTTGTTGACATGACTAAATTGTTGCAGCTGCTCATTGCATCTGTGCAGCATTTTATGCAATTCTTTGATACTCCTTCGCTTATACCTACCATTTCCAGTAGAAGAGAACAAATAAATACCAACCTACCCGACTGTGTTACATCTTGACGTAAGAAGAAAAAAAATAAAACCTAGCCAACAGCATGCATCAATGAACTTTCATAATAGAGGTTGAGTTACAAATTAATAGCCCAAAGGATCCAAACATAACGGTTCTGGCTCAAGTAACAGGTGGGGTGGAAAGAGTTTTTTAGGTTTAAATCTTGGCAGAAGCGGTAAAAAATCTGAAGGGTGCAAATGGTATCAACAAATAACAAAACTTCAAAATGCCCAAATAGATTTATGAGAATTTGGAGACCTGAACAAATTCCAGATAGTGTGTGCATAAAATATTAATATTAATTATTAGGTAAAATAATTCAAAGTACGGACAGAAGCAATACGTTTCAAAAGCATCTGAAGACAATGGGCCCAACTCCCTGATTTTCTTTGAGTATTCCTCTTGTTTAGCAAGAAACATATTTCTTTTACTCAAAAGTTGCTCCAGCTCTTTGGCTTCATCCTGAAGAGTCCTCTCATAGTTGTCTTCCAAATTCTGCATTCACAAGTGATCGTCTTAGCAGCAGCAACATGCATTTAGAATCTAACAATATAATCACTTTTACCTTTAACTTAGTCTTTTCATCTTTAATTCTCTTGAGTTGCTTTGACTGGCCATCTATGCTTTCGGAAACTCCTGATGAACAAAACTGTATTAAAAAAACAGGAGCAAAACTTAAAATTTCAAAACTGGAAATTCAAAAACAGCAGATCAACGCCCTCACTTCTGAGCTGCTCTGTTAAATCTTCAACCAACAATCTAGAATCATTCAGTTCCTGACTCTTAATTTCAGCTTCACCATGCAAATTGTCAGTCTCCATGGTGGAGATTATGGCCTCTAGTTCTTGCTTACGCCTCTTGAGGTTTGTGGTTAAATTAGTCTCAAGCTCTGCCTTTCTTGACTCGGTCTATGAGATGCACACGAAGAGAGTAGAATAAAATATTCAGATCAGAACACAGATACAATGGAATACTCTAAAAATCAATTAACTATATTTGACTAACCTCAATACGATCTGTCTTGCATGAAATAAGCTTCTCTTTTAGATCTGCTATTTCAGGGTTTAATCTTGAGAGAAGATCCTTCTCCACTGGAGTTAAATGATCAATGAGATCTGTGCCCATTTCAGCCCTCTTCATGGCCATACTGGCTCTAAGCTGATCAATTTGACTCCGCACATCAGCAAGTGATTTTTCCTACAATCAAGAGAGAAGAATATAAGCTCCCCTAGGCACCGCAGGTGATGTCATCTCAAATATCAAAATTACCTTATTCCCAAGAGCTTTAGAAATCAAAATTTTCTGCTTATCAGCATTGGCAATGTCCTGCTTAAGCTGTTCTAGTTCTGATTTGTCGTGGGCCCGCTTAGCATCAATTTTCTGCTGTTCAGTTACGAGATCTGTAATTTTCTGGTCTATCTGTGAGGTAAATTTAGTAAAAACAAGGACTTCTTTTTGTAGGAAACATAAAGATTAGATTACTAAGAAAGAAATGAGAAGTAAATTAGAAGGCTAGAATGGAAAAATTTACTGCTGCGCATACATATTAAATCATTTTTCAAAAGGATATCTTGAAGCATAAATCTAACTTTCTCCAGTTCTTCTTCCTTTATGTTGATAGATTTTGTGTTCTGTATGATTGTACACATAAACTTCAATTTTGAACGTCTATGGTCATAAAACCCTCCTGTCATACCACCCTTCTTGCTGACTTGATCACCTGTTAGAGAATAAGTGGTGACTTGTCAAGATTTAGAAGTAATAATTACAATATTGTGCAACAGATAATGCAGAGAGAATCTGTAGCTCTATCTTAAACCTTCCAAAGTAATGCAGTCTAGACCATCGGTACGAGCAACCCTGGTAGCCACATCCAGATCTCGACAAACAACTGTTCTTGCAAATACCTAAAAGAGATAAGAACATATTATGATGAAAGGTCATTCTTAACATTGTTAGAAGTATTACAGCTAATTGTAACATAGAAACAGACATATAGTAAGCCATCATGCCTAGTAAAGAACGCATAATCTTAAGGTGAACCCACTTCAGAAGGTATTCAAATGCAACTTTAAACCTTTTATCTATGTAAAGCATGATACTGATTCACCAAAAGTGAGACCACATTCCAAAAAAACTAGGTTCAATGTAGCAAGCATAAAAACAAGAGCAATTACCACTAATTGTTTTGCAGTTAAATATCTAGGTTCCACATTGAATATCTGACTTTCCTTGTACATGAACCCAAACAAGTCAATAAACATAAGTCATTTCATGTCTAAATCCCAACTTTATTTTCTCCACCCAAATGCACCAGTACTGTTGCGCAGTTAAATAATTACGCTTTTAGTCGTCTTTTTTAATGGTTCAGTGTTAGAAATATAGGTAGCAGAGGTAGTTACTTAGAGTTCATAGATACACTACATTTAAAAATGTATACTGGGGTTCCTTTTGGCCCTCTTTTGTTGAGTAGCATAACTGTTTTACTTGATTAAAAATATAAGTTACCCCCGAATTAAAAAACAGATTGCAATAGAGGAACAACACAATAAACAACAAAGATCCACCCTTGAAGCAGAAATTGCAAAATTAGTGGTTCTACAACCAAGGATTTAACCACATAACTTCTAACAAACACACATCTCAACAAACAAAATGATATCACCAATCAGACATGGACACAACACTAACCAATGATTTTACAAGATAATTCAGGTCAAAGCTAACCTGGGCAAATGCTGGGTTATAGTTTGGAGCAAACTTTAACTTCTTTAACAGAGGAACCACATCTGAATTCTGTGGATAAATTACCCGTGGAGCCTTCACCCTATTTAGGGGGATAAACGTAACTCGTCCACCCTTCAATGAATTAAGGTGCCTAATTATCTGTGTTGATATTTCATCATTTTCAACCACAACGTGAAACAAGCTGTTCAGAAAGAACAGAAATCAATAAGAGAACAACTGGAGGGCAACGAGGAAGGCAATTGCTAACAGATCATAACACCATTCAGTAATATGGCAACAGCTAAGAGAATGGGGATAGAACGCTTATGAAACTTTGAGCACCTGTTCCCAGCAGTTACTTCAACAGCAGTAAAAAACTTTTCATCGCAATCAAGCAACTCAATAATTGGACCAAATACCCCAGGAATTTTATACTCTCTGCAAATCTTACGAACAGAATTTAGCCCTCTCCTGACATCCTGAAAGTATTACACACGACGGCAGAAGGGAAAAGTGAAATGTTAGATATAGTACTTCATCCAACTATTTATACAGTGAAAAGAGATAGGAAGAAGCTCTCGTAATTTCAAGATGCACCAATAAAAGGATATAATCATGATGTAATACACAATCACAACACAATGAATAAAACAAGTTGAATCATAAAGCAGAAAATAATCAACATTCTTTTGGCAGTGTTTAACATAGAAAAATAACTTAGATTCTTTTCTGCACTTTCGCACAAAATAGACTTTAAGCCTGAAGATCACTAAAGCTCATGAATCCATGAGGTTCAGAAACAGTTCTGCATCATATCCCAATTTTAACTATAATGAAGGGTCAGGTAGGAATATTGATGCTCTAATAATTAGACTATGTATTATGTTCGCAATTCATCCAGGAACCAAAATAGTTTTTCGTAAATCAGAGTAAATATATAATTACTTTTCCAATTAATCCCATGGTTGGCCCGGATGTGATGTTTTCTACTTGCTAATATTATTCATTATTTTATGCATTCTTGTCCAACAGCACACCACTTCAATAGTCTCAAGCTGTAATTAAGATAATGAGGAAGAGGTAAACAGGGAAGCATGACATTCTTCACATCATTATAGACTTCACTCTAAACACACATTGTAATTTCCTTTTCATTAATAGAATTTTGTTTACTCTCGGAAGAAATCATGTCTAGCACAGTGGATGATGTGGGAATTTCTCAATGTAAAGGCATGTTGCCTTGCCCCTTAGCTTAGGAACTATACTGCCCCTTTGACTCATTTTATTCAACACCTTTGCCCCCATCCCTTAAGGAAAACTAAAAAAATATATGGAGAGGGTTTATGTTTAAACATCTATTGGCGCTTTGACTTGTTTAATTCTTTTAACTTTCATACACATGAAATTAATTTACAGTATACGTTGAAAATCTTATGCTATGCTTAACTCACTTCTCCCATTTCTTCAAAACCGCATTACATTTAAATCAACATCTGCACCCCCCTTTCTTCCTTACAACTTTATAAGTAGTTACTTGCACTCTCTCGTTACAACTTAGAACTCAGAAGGGAGCCACAATAAAAATTTGCCAAAAGCCATCAACATCATACTGTTCGTCAGCAAACAGAGCACATAAACAAATATAGAAAAGTTATGCAGGGCATACCATCCATGACATGCATATCAAAAGACACACTTTCAGAATTACTGTCACTTGGGCTCATATATCAACAAGACAACCATGTTTAGCACACCGGAAGTTACAAAAGGTCAAGAAAGCAATTACTCACACCAGGAGTCGCATGATCCAGGCTCTTTTCAGCCTTCTCAACTTCTGTTCTCAGCTTCTCAATTTCAGCAGAAAGTTCAGTTTCATTCCTCCACAGGGACCTAAGACAAGAAGCAAAGAAAAACAATCATATTGGAATGACTATGACAAATTCATCTAAAATATTAAGTACAAAAGACTCATACTTGCGCTCATCCTGCAACTTGTCCCTCTGTGACTTATGATGATTGAACCCTGCATGTGACTGAGAGATGAGAGATTCAATAGTAGCAATCTCTCTTCTTCGGGCCTCAATGTAGGCATCCCGCTCGCTCAACTCAGCATTAAGCCGTTTAATTTCGTCCTGAAGTTTTTGCTCCTGGAACATATAAGAGTGAGAAATAAATGAAGTACAAATTACGTAAAAATAATACAGTATGCAATTTAGAATAGTTTATAAATGCTGCAAATAAAGCAAGCAACTAGAAACTTAAGCACAAGGACATAAGATGTGAAAGGAGGAATGTCAAGTCACATTCCAAATCAGCAAAGTGAACCAGAAGCCATGAGGCTAAATACCCAAACAAAGCAGTCTAAACAAAGCAGAACAACAAATGATACAAGAAAACTCCCAGGCAACCATCAAACCACACAAACAACATCACAGAACCCTAAGAAACACAAAAACAAATCGGAAAAGATTAACTAAAAGTCTAAAACACAACTGCCAAACCGCTATGGTAGTTAGCCGGCCTGTGAAACATTTGCCTTCCACTAGGTGGTAATCCACATGCAGTTAATTTCCAGGATCTAGTTGTGGTGAAAATTGAGAAGAGGTTGAAACGTTAGACAACAGTGTTTCTGTCTAGAGAAGGTTGGCTTTGATGTAATCAGTCTTAAGCAATGTGCCAAGTACCTTTCTCTTTTCGGATTCCCAGCAAAGGTGCTAAGAAATTGGATAATAAGGGCTTTTTGTGGGAAGGTTTTGGTGAACAGAACAAGGAGCATTTGGTTAAATGGGATATGGGCTCAAATTCTCAAGAGAATAGTGGTTCTGGGGTAGGCCACCTGGTGGTTTCAAATGCTTCTTATTCCAAAAAAAAGTTTTGAGAAATGACAGTCAATTCAAAGTGAAACATTCGAATCCAAGAAAAGAGGATATTAATTAAATCCTTATATATAAGAATCTAAAAAAATATGAACAATTTAAAAAAGAAATTCTCAACTGGAAAGTGTTTTTAATCCAGAATCATCTGAGAGGAATTTTTACAATAGCTAGGAATAGAATGCATACAGTTCTATTTCTAGTAGTTGGAATTAAACAAGACATACTAAAGCGCCAGATGGAGTACTCGAACTACACCCCTGATATGACATTTAAGGTGCATTATATACTTAAAAAAGAAGCCAGCATACCTGGGCCAAATTTGAAGAAAGAACTCGCTCGAGATCATCAATTTCCTTTTGGAGCCATTTGTCACGAGCAGCTTTACTTGAAAACTGGGTTGCACGACCTTGTTTTTGATAAAGTATGCTAAGCTGCTTCTCGCGTTCCATTATTCTATATGCCAAAAGAACCAATTGTGAGATAATATTCTAGCACCTCCACCAAAGACGACTCCTATGGTCCGAACATATTCCAGTATTTGGACAGACTTGATTTACAATTTATCTAAAAACTCATGGCATCTAGGTCTTTGGCCCGACTAATCGCAGTGTCGGTCCAATCGGATACATAATACACTCTACTTTTGATTTGATCGAAAGATTTTTACCAATTCCAACATTAATTTGAAATTTAATATATCGCAAATATACTTACGAAGTTGTTCCAATTTATTGATCGATACTAACCTTAGATTCTTGCCCTAGAAGAAGGAAATACTGAGAAATGAATTTCCAAGGACTACGAAACAAATCTCACTGACAATCTTAGAATCAGACCCACTATACTGCAAACCAACCTTACTTTTGAATAACAAAGTACCACAATAAATCCTGCTTGACAGGAAATCCCCACCACCAGTAACCTAAAACAGCCCTATTCCTAAGAAATACGTTCCCAATTGCTAATCGCCTTTATAGTTTAAAATTTTCCACTAGACTAACTACTCCAGAGTAGAAAGACTAGATGAACAAATGAACTTTTTTGTACAACCTACACATGAATATTTTTCGAGAACTATTGAAGTGGGATGAAACAGAACAATAACGCACTGCTATGTTGATTTTCCTAGTATCTAATATACCATATACATACCCTTTTGTGATCTCCTTTTCCTTCATGACTTGATCCTCATACAGAGGATTCATTTTCTCAAGTTCATCCATTGAATCCTGAATTTCTTTCTGCAGAGTCTGCAACTGTCTCACAGCATCTCCCTGCAAACATGTAAATGCAGCATTCATGTCCGTCATATCACTGGAAACCAAAATAAAATAAAATGGGCACGAAAATAAGAAGAAAACATCCCTCTGCAGAGGACATAATTTGAATATTACTTTGGCTCCGAAGTTTCCAGATATCTTCTCCTGCAAATCTTTCACATCAAGCTCAAGCTCTGTATGCTTCTTTATTGCTTCTGTTCTTTGTTTTTCTATTGCTTCTTTCTCTTTAGATAAAGCTTGAAGCTCTTTAGTCAGATCCTTCATAATCTTGTCCAAGTCCTTGGACTTTTCATGGGCATCCAGCACGCTATTATACATCTTCGTTGACGTTTCAGAAACCTTGTTTCGAGCATCTTCTACCTGAATCAAGGCGAAATGTATATAGGTTTAGGCATAAAGGTCAGCATTGTGCATGCATCTTAGCACACAGAGAGAAATTTTGGACCCAAGATATATATGTACAATTTATATTGAGGCACTTTCATTCAAATTACTTTATTACCATAAAACTGGAGCTTTTTTCCCTTTTTTATTTATCATTCAAACTTCCTATGCAGAATAACTATCAAAACGCCAGTGCCCAACTCTAAAAGATGTAGAGTGAGAATTGTCATTGAGAAGCACAAACACCGCAGAGATAACCACTTATGATTCAGACAAGCACTGGACATCAAACATATCCGCAGTTGCAAAATGCATAAATTTGTTTAGAAGAATAAAACTGTACAAAGGGTGCGAGTGAATGTAATAGTTGTGGACAATCGGAAAATAAATACTTGTATGTTTACCACAACTTGAAGAGTACCATCTTTATTTTTTTTACAAAGAAGAGGATGGTAAACATACTAACGTTTGATCATATATATTTTCATCCACATTACAACTTATAAATATACACTCATTCCACTATGTAAACTATAGTCCTTCCAATCTTTCTTTGTACACAGATCTCATAACGTGCATTTATCTCCCCATACAACAATAACAAGAAACAAGCACAAAAAAGAGTGAGGGCCTTGATCACCTTTTTCTTTTATTCTACTATCAATGCTTGAAATCGCATTCAATTCCATATGCTACCCAATTATGATCCACAAACAGAGTTTACAACAATAAACAAAAGAAAAAAACACTTATCAAGTGCAATTTAAACAAAAGTGATGCAAATCTTTTATATGGCCTAGCGTCTAACATTGACTAACCTCTGCCAGTTTTTGGCGAGCATCCTGAAGTTCCTTGTCATAAATAGTGTATTCCAAAGATTTTCGCTGCTTGTCAAGTTGCTGATACTTTCTCAGTTCCTCTTTCTCTTCATCCAATTCCTTTAATCTCTCGTCCAAGTACTGAACAACTTGAATTATCTGCCTTCTTTTGTTTCCTGATTACCAAAGTTAAAAAGTTGTAAGAAAACATGTATAATAAACATAAACAACCAATCCTTTAAGGACTTGCCTGTTTCCTGCATAATTTTCAAACTTTCTCGACGTCTCTCCTCATACACCCGAGTGCCACCAATTTCCTTCAGTAAATCCAGCCGTTCAGAGTCTTTCATCAGTGTCAATGATGCTATCTATGAAACCGTCCACAAATTGTCAAAACAAAAAAACAACAAAAAAGTCAATCCTCAAGCATACTATTACTAAAACAATAGCAATGAAGTTTTTTTTTTCCCAGGTAATAACAATGATGTCCAAACAACTAGAAAAATTGTACCTTTCCTTGCTGCACAACATAATAAGGATTGGAGCGAGAGAACCCAGCACTTTCCAGCAAATTCATAACCTCGGTTTTCCTGAAATGAGGGTTATATTCCATAACAGAAACCACAGAAAAGGGTTAATTAATCAAAACACGTAATAGACAGCAGATTCAGTATTTTCGCATAAATATATACACTCACGTGATGTGTTTTCCATCCAAGAAATACTCATCCTTCTTCAAACCAATGGTTCTTCGCAAACGCACTTCCTCCTTATCAACCTACCAAGAAGTGTTGCAAAAGTGAAAATAAGTATAACCCATATAAGAAAGTAATCCAAATGCCTCAATTGGTGTTAAATACGTGGAGAAGTAAGCTGGAACTGTGCAAAAAAATGATAGTCAATACAAGCAAGCATGCAAGATCCTTACTTGTGTGTGTGTGTGTGTGTGTGTGTACTGGGACACACATAAAACAGCAACAGAAACAGAGGTCATTTGAAAACCGTTAAAGTTGGACCTAAAACCAATTGGAAACTATGGAGAGGCTCATCAATTTAAAGATCGAGATGCAATGCTTAGAATGCCCGATGTGGGAATTTAATATTCTTAACACTCCCCCTCGAGTGTGGACAAATAAGCCAAACAAGTGGTTAATTACATGGCCACCACCTTTTTTTGGGAAACAAAACTTTCATTAAATATAACAAAGACACAAAAAATAGTGAACAAGGACTCCACTGCTAAAACAAAACTAAACATGGAACCAACACATCAACACTACACTAAGAGAGAAACAGTAACACAGTAACAAGAAGAAACAGAAAAAAAGCAAACAAAAAAATTAGGCATGCACTATTCAAAGCCGTACTTTTACATCGACCACCTAAATCGAACCTCACATTGGTCCTCCATAATTTTAGGTTTACAAGGCCCCCTGCTTAAATCCCTTCCTCCCCCAGGTACAATGATGTTATACTAGGACCCACTAAGAAAATAAAATCATTTCCTCCCCAAAATTTAAAAAAAATGGCCAAATATTCCAGATAGTCACAAAGGTGGCAGAACACACATGGTCTACGTATTAAATGCTGTCACAAACAAATTTCATCCTCACCTTTTGTTTTCCTTTTCCACAGAAACAAAATGTTATTACTTACATAGGAGCTTCCTAAAAAACGGAAGCCCTCCAATTAGAAAAAGTTGCAAAAGACAGTTTCCCAAAATTCTGTAGAGACCAAAGCACCCAATAAAATAACTGAAATAGAAAATAATATTAAAAAATAAAAGTTGTCACAACTTTAAGATGTTAGCGTTTTGGTCGTTTGGTTGGAAGGACAATGGAGGACTTTCATGGCTTTAAGGGTGAGGCCCTACAGATGTCTGGGATCGATTTCGTTTTGCCTGTATAGCATGACACATTTTGCCAAGAAATACCACTACTTGTTTTGGCATTACTTCACTTTCAACATGAGTCATATATCGCTAATCCAAAGATTGCTATGTATTTTAACTTCCAATACCAAAAATTAAACCAAAAATTAACAGCCCTAATTTGACATACAGCTAAAAAGAAAAATCAAGCGGTTAAACAAAATTCTATATATCCTTTTCCAAAAAACCTTGCCTGACATAGGCATGTTATGACTTGCCTAGGGCACGGGGTTGTTCAGACAAGTCATGAACATGCCAAAATAAAATATAGAAAGAAAACCGGGCACCAAATCCACCTAGAACTGGGACCACATTCTTCTTTCTTGCCTTTTGACCTCAACTAACTGGTGCAATCTTTCCCCAATTCACCGATAGAAAAGAAAGTAATAAGCATGACTAGATTAGACTAATGAAAGCAAACCAAGGTTTTCGTTCCTTACACAACAAGTATGCTAAACTATTACAGATAAGATTTAATATCTTGGAAAAATCTTTCTCAAAGATAGAGACATAGTATCCCTTACATCCCTAAACCCTGATAAAATCGAGGCTTTGTCCACATAATAGAATCAACCAAGACTAAATCCACTTAGCAGAGACTGGAGAGTAAACCCTAGTCACTTTGTCGCACCAAAATCTTTTGGAAAACGTGAAAACATGATTTATATTTTAAGAAGAAACATTTGTTGCAAGTGCAAGCACATTATGGTCAGTTCCTATCATGAATATCTAGACAACCCATGCAACAAGGGGAAGAAAAACATGATTTGGCATCACAGAAGCACATCTACTCCCACACAAAAAAAAATATGTGATAAGACTCATAACTAACTCTGAAAGTTATGTAATTTGGGTTGAATGACCATAGGCCACACTAGAAGGTAGCATCTCTCTGTAAAGTTCCTATTTCCACAAGGCAAAAGACAAACGCATACATGTAGAGGGCAAGAGGGAGAGAGGATGCGAGGAAGGAAGAGGGAGAAGGAGGGGTGGGGGTGAGAGGGAACTGCAATTCTTCTCAGGAAATAAACATCAAGCTCATCAAATGTTGCGAGGAAAAAAAAAGCAAAGGGGGGAAACCCTACCACAAGCAAAAAACAAAAGTATTTGGTCTGAAACATAATTTTATTACAAGGGAAAAATAAGTTACAGAAACAGATTTTAAAGATATGATAAAAATATATATTACCGGGATTCGATTGTCAGCATTATCAAAGACAATCTCCACAAACGCAGATAATACTTGGTGACCTGCCCCTTCCTGTTCAATCATGGCACATATTGCAACAAAATTTGTTCATTAAGCAAATGATTGAACACAGTAGCTTGGGAACCGGAAAAAAAAAAAAAAAAAGCATTTAGAGAGACATACATGGAGTAGAGCATGCCTATCCTCGCTCCTAAGGTTTTGGAAAAGGTCACTTAGTACAAACCGAATTGCTACAAAAAGAACATGTTTCAAATCCAACAAAATGTCAATGAAAAAATGTTAACAGCTCCAGACAAAACTACCAACCAAAGGATAAAACAACTGCAACAATCATTCAGTACTTGCTACTTACCATGGAAGAAATTCGTCTTTCCCGACCCATTGGCACCAACTGCAGCAAACATCATTGAAATATATATGGAATTTTATTAGCGAACATAATAGAGCACACCGTTACAAAAGAAGCAAAGTCAGATACAGAACTATCATTGACTTTATTTCAGTGAAGAAAATCTCCAGTACATATAGACATACTTTTAGAAGAAGAAATGGAAAGGTAAAAAATGAATGAACTATACAAATTAAAATTTGCAGTATGATCTCTCTATACAAATAGCATTTGCCCACACACCTCACAAGACTCCCGGTAAGGAGAACTGAACCTCTGATCTGATATTGCTTTATTTCATAAGTTAAATAAAACCCATAATACATGACAAAATAAGGTTACTGTTTGAAATAAAACCAAATAAATTATGTGTAAAAGAAGACTTCAAACAGAGAATGGGAATGGTTGAATGAAGGAGAGGGGTACCTTCTATTATGCAATTGAGCCATTCAAACCAAAAAGTGACGTAGAAGTAATAAGATGTCAAACAAGATAGTCCAACTTACACCCATTGTTTAACATCACACAATTTAAGAACCAAGATAAGATACTTAAGCACATCTTCGTATAATGTCCATCACTATACTAACCAAACAAATGGAAATATGGCAAATCATTGACTTGTAATTCGATACTTTAAACCGTTTTAATTGCATTGTGCTATCCATCTTACAAAGAATATTCCAACAATCTATATAAAAAGAGAATATGATAAGCTTTTTTAACATACAAATTTCGCAAACGAAGAGAACACTACTAGTAGAATTTCAAAATAAAAACCATCAGAAGCAATTGCAAGGAAAGAAATCAGTACCAACACAATTAACTTTTGGGCTGAAGGCCTCAGTAGCAACTTGTTCTCTGTAGCTCTTAAATCCTTCAATTATAACCTAATTCCAGAGACCCAAATATCAATAAAATATTAGATAAAGCTCTAAAAACAAGGTAAAAGCACTCCACCTATGACCAAAACTTACCTGCTTTATATACATGTTGAAATGACCAGCTCACCAACCTCTGTGAGAAAATGTAAAAGAAAAGCTATCAGAGACTGCCATATACTAATAAGGGCATTTGGTTGCCAGAATCCCCTCTGGCCACAGACCAGAATATTAATGAACCTAAAGCAATCATTACTGGAAACTAGAATCAATAGGGATGCTATTGCATTCAAAAGACAGACGAACCCACGCACACACGCACAAACACACATTCACTTAAAACTGCTATCCAAATTACAAAGCCTAAGTTAGAGGCTTCATAATTAGCATTGTGGAAGTACATGTACCGCAATCTAGAAGCAATTGCTTCAAAATTAGGAATCATCATTTCAAACCCAAAAAGGCCAAACAATGCACAGTGGAAGTAGTTCAGATCCACGACAAGACAGAAATGAGCTAGCTCGTATGCTCAAAACAACAAGAGCATTTCAATAGGGCTAAAGGACAAACATCTTGGGTCGAACCTCTATGCATATCAAATTTTGTCTTCGAGTGGAAATAGGGAGGGAGAAGAGACAAATGAGTTCTCTTTGAACTCGAACCCTAGCTATCCCCTAACTGTATATGCACTCTATGAAATTAAATTGGCTTCAATAACGAAAAACAAAAACATAATAAAAGCTCAGAGTTAGTTCTAGGGTTTCAAACTGTATTGCTTCTGCATTTAAGGCAAAAATTGGAGAAGAAATAGCGACTGGACTTACCAGTCAAAGCTGCCAATTCAATTCATGAGCTTCACAGAGAGCTGTAGAGTAGCGTGAAGTGAAGCAGAGGATGACCGCAAGTATTTTGCCCTAGGCGGGGTGCGCAGGTTAACCAGCGTGCGCTCACCGGTGACTTGTAGCACAGATCGACGGCAAGTGAAAGGCGGCAAAAATGAAATGGAAAATTTTTGGGAAGTAATTTTCGTTGGGAAGTAGGAAAATCGAAAATGACATTTCGTTGGGCTATGGCGCTTTTTTTCCTCCTTTCTTTTTTCGGTAAAGGGCGCTTTTTTTTTTTTCTTTTTTTTTGAAAGCTTATTTATTGATATGCCGTGCTTATTGTCTCACTTTTTCCCCTTAACTTTCAACTGACTCACTTTATACCCTCATCGTCATATACTTGCATTTCGCGTGTGTCTCACGTACCTCATTCCGTTAATTTCTTCAGTAAAACCGTTAAGTTGCTCATGTGGCATGAGAATTTTAGTAATTTGAGCTATTAATAATTTAAAATCCAAATTAAATATACATAAATATATTAATATTATACCAAAATAATAATAAAATAAAATAACTTACAAAAAAGAAATAAAGACCCAACAATTCGGTTCCTATCGCCACCCCCGTTCTAATCTAGCTCTCTCTCTCTCCCCTCAAATCTCGCCCTCTCTCTCTTCAAATCTCTCTTACTCACATATGAATTTATTGAAGTAATAGTTTATAAGCACGAAGTCAATCTAAACTAATTGATCCCAAATTAATTTAACTCTAACCTAGTTTTAAAAAAAAGATTAATTTTAATTGGGAAAATTAAACTAAGCAAATAAAACTAATGGATTAAACATTATAAGAAAATAAGGTTAACCGGTGATTTGCCCTTTGAACTTGTACTTAACTTTTGATTTACCCCCTATCCTTTTTTTTTATAGAAAATTAAGTATATGAGCTTCTTCTTTTTTGCCAATTTCCCCCCTGCCGTCTAAATTCTAAACATTTCATCCAATTTGTCCATTAAATATGAGGGCAAATTGGTCATTTCCATGTTAAAATAAAATAAAATAATTTGAAATTTGAAATAATAATCAATAATGATAGAAATAAAGTTTTTATTAAAAAAAAATAGAGAGTAGAGAGAATGTCATCCTCAGACCAACCCCACTTCCTATTAGAGCAACTCCACCCATTTGCCCCTTGCCATGACAAGGGGGGGCTAGGGCAGCCACTATTCACGTGAATAGTGGTTGCCCTTGCAAATAGTATATTTTGTGTTTCCACCCGTTGCCATGGTTAAGGGCAATTACTATTCATTTTTTTTATTTTTTTCACAACTTTTTTTATCTCAATAATTAATTTGGATAATATTTTCGGATAAGATTTTCGGGTTCCTACGTGTCAATACTATTCATATCTCATAATCGGATAAAATTTTCAATTTCAAATTTCAGATAAATTTTTTTAAAAAAAAATTGGCTAGTATTTATAGAAAAAAATTCATTAATTTTTGGGTATTTTTTAAAAAAAAATCCAGTATTTTATTGCAAAAAAATTGGTTGCCGTTGGATTGGAGGAAAAAAATAGATCGGAGAGCCCAGACGACGCCACGTGGCAACAGAAAAAAAAATCAAATGAGTGGGCTGACGTCAGCACCAACCTGCTTTTTGGACCTCAGGCTGAACTGGTCTTCGGGCCAGCCCGAGTTGCGTGGGACCCACTCCAGCCTGTGCTTGGGCTCACCGCTGGAAACCAATTTTTGCAAAAAACTCCCCCAGCTCGAGGCAAGGGGGCCTCGGTGGAACTGCTCTTAGCCTCTGAATTTCTGCTTACCAACCCCCTTCTTCCCCAAAATCGAACACATCCCATACAACAACACCAAAACCACCACCATATATTTGAACAAAAAAAACCCATATGCACATATTTGAACACACAAAAAAACCCAGATCTATTTTATCAAAAACCGCACCAGGGGCAAAGGGGTTGTGGCGAGGTGAGTGCTTTTGTGGGTGTTGGGGATGGACCTGGGTTTTGGGGGAAGAGAGAGAGAGTATGTGATGGTTGTGGGGTGGTGGCTGTGGGAGGGTGAGCTGTTGAGAGGGAGAAGGAGGCTGTCATATCTCGTTCTTAAATTAATATTAAATTATTAAATTACTCAAGTAAAAGACGATTTTACCTTGAGAATATTTTAATGGGTTTAAAGTTGACTTTTTGTTCGGGAAAGAATTTGGGGATGTGAGTAATATCATTGTGTATAGCGCGGCACTACGAGTTCGTAGACACATAGTGGGCTCAAATCGGAGTTTTAACGAAGAAGTTGCAATCAACGAAAGTACAATTGCACAACTGTAAATATTTCAAAAGTCAGATTTTAAAAACAAACAAATTTTCTTCTCTCTCTCTCTCTCCCCTCCCTTCTGCGACCTCACCTCCTCTCTCTCTACGAAACAGCCAGCAGGCCATTCTTTGGCCGACAACTCCCTCCTCCAGCCACCGTTGGCCATGAGACACTTGCATTAGAACCAGCTCCACTTCCTCTCTTCAACCCACCCCTTCTCCGCCGCTTGTGCTGCTAGAAATAGCTCATAAACCGCTAGATTTCTTCGAAACTTTCCGTCGTCATTTCTGACAATTCCAGCACCAAATTTGTCAATCCAGGTATGCTTTCTCATCCTTTCAATGTGACTTAGCTGATGGTTGGGTTAGTTAGGATTGATTTTAAAGTTTTGAGGTTCGATTTACAACTTAAAGTTTTGACCCGTTTTCAGCTCGAATTTCCGGCAAGTTCCGGCCACTTTTTGATCGTGGCCTAAGAACAAAAATTGCTCCACTAGTTGTCTTGATCATGTAGGTATAGCTATTGTTGGGTGTTTTGAGAATTTTCCAGTTGCCGGAATTCTCTCAAGCCACCCACGCACTGTAGGGGCGTGTGGCGGCATGTGGGCCAAGTTTGGGTGGCCCATTTGGTCCTAAAATGATCTATATGTCGTCCCGAGCATGACGGTATGCTTGGATTTGAATTTGGTTATCGTTTGACAGTCAAACGGATTTATGCATATTAGGCATTATCCGGGTTTGATATGTTTGGACCGTTGGATCAACTCCATCTTCATGTATGTTGATCTAGGAACCTCTAGGATCGTGTAGGAACTCACAGATCAAAAATCGGTGTCCCGGATACCCCGAATCAATGACCCAAAGATTATGTAAAACGGTGACCGTTTGATCGTGCGATCGAGAGCGATCTAACCGCACGATCTGGACCAAACTTTCAGGACGTGTTTAGTAGACCTTATTGAACCTCTAGAAACTTTCAAATTTGAAATTGAAGGTCGTGGGCTCCACGGGCCCAGTCGACCAATATGGGAAGTTTAACCCCTCGATTGTCTGTGAGTCTTCCGAGATAGTTTCACCCTTCGAAAAGTACTAGAATGACCTTATAAACGAGTTTTGATTGTTACTTGAGTTATTTTGTTTATGTTGGGATTATGTGATTATTTTATTGTTTCAAATTGTGGGGTTATCGGATGGTATATTGTTATTTGAAGTTTATGCAATATTTGAAATTATGGAATATATGATTTTGGGATACTTGATTGATTGGTCGTGAAAGCGAGTCTTGGGACTCGGCTATAATTATTAAGAAGTGAGTGGACATTAGTTTTTAAGTGTACTTCGTTTTCCAATTATGGAATTGCTTGCATAAATGTGTTGTGATTGAAAATTTATTTAATTTGGGTTAATGAGGATATTGGATCTCTAAGGGTTATTATTTATTAGGGGTGGGCATGGTCCGGTTTGGACCGATTTTCTTAAAAGAATGGAACCTGAACCGAAAATGATTTCTGGTGGGATTTGTTGGTGAAGTGTAACAGCAAATCAATTCATAATTCTATTGCATTGGTATGTTAGATGGGGTTGGTAAAGTGAGTGTTGTTGGTGGAGGCATAAATCAATTCAAAATTCTTCTTTCATTCTCCCTATAAATACCACTTCCATTCCACACCATAAATCAACCACATCCTGGGATTCATACTCCCACAATTCATTCATCCTTCACTTCATCCTCCACACTTCCATCATTCCCAAAACACATTCAGAAATCATCCTCAAACACTCCCACAACCCCAAACACTCCATCCATCAACGTAAAGCTCTAAACAACCCCAAATCACCAAAACTGTAACAACAAGCCTCTCTTTCATTTCCCTACGAATTTCCTCTTTCTTAGCCATCACCACTCACCTAAATGCATCCCAAATCACCTCCTTAACCTTCATACATCCCTCTAGACGTGGAGAAGCTCTTGGAAAAGCATTAGGCGTGGAGAAGCATTGGACACCACAAGAACTTCAGAAAAAGGGTTTTTCTACTCCTATTGTATTCATTATGTTTTCTCAATTTCATTCATGTTATTTTGGCATTATGAGTAGCTAAATCCATATCTAGGGCTTCAATGTAACCTAACATGAATATTCTGGATTTATAAATTTCAAGTTTCAAGTTTGATTCATGATTCATGTTCTTATTCATTATGTCTACCTGTGTATATGCTAATCGAAATGCCTAGCTACCATTTAGATTTGTGTATCTTGGTTAGAATTAAGAGTAGACACCATATGCTTTAATTCTAATTGAACTATGAATAGGAAGAGTATGTATGAATATTTGACAACATGGATTAGATACATGCTTGGTTGTTTAAAACATTCTTCTATGCTTAATGGATTTCTAATGCCTAATTTAAGTTCGACAACAGAGGATCAAATTAGGAAATTAGGAATACAAGGTTAGGACCAGACACCATGGCTTAATAATACTTTAGCTAGAATCAATCTGAGAATCTGAATTGAACTTGTTAACTTATTTGCTTGAGTTAGTTTCTTTTCTTTCTTTCTGGTTTTATGTTCTTTTCTTTCTTGTTTTCTGTTTTGTGCAGTGAATCGAATTAAATCAATCTATCATCAATCTTCGTGAGATCGACCTCGCACTTACATATGCTATACTACTGATCGGCTCGTGCACTTGTGAATATCACAAGTTGAGGATGTAGCTGAATCAAGTTTTGGCACAGCTGAATCGACACCAACAGTACTCAAGATACCCACTTATATTTGGACCTAAGAACTTTAGAAGTTGGAAACATACGAGCGATGTGTTTGTCCTAGTTCTCCCAATTAGGGGTATAAGATCCAATGTAAAGAGGGTTAGCCTTAGAGGTATTGGTTGCTACCTTAGATATGCCAATAGCACATACCTAGGTCTGAGCACTGTTGCGTAGATTTAGCTCCACCAAAATGGATTAAGCTGCATCCTCAACTTGTGATACTCGCAAGTGCACGAAC